TTAACATCTAAGGGAAATCAGTGGGCCTAGCTCATTTGGTAACCACCGAAGAATTGTTGAAATACATACCGACGTTCGAATCTACAGCTGCAAAAATGATAACCCAAATGCTTCTTCTTCTTCTTTTTTTTTTTTTTTTTTTTTTTTTTTTTTTTTTTGGAGTAAGCAAACGGTGCACGAAAGCTTGATATGCAATCAACTTACTACCAAAAACTATGCACACAGGTCACCAAAATGCTCCGAAATTCACCAAAATGATTGGAGTATGTGAAAACTGACAAGTGCGCACTCACGCTGCTTCTCATCACACTGCTTCCGTGTAAACGGTGTATTTTGTTTGTTTCTATATTTGTTTAATGGCCGGCGGGGGCTTGGGAAGATCTCATTCATGGTCCACGGGCCCCCCAGCGGAAACCGTTTTGCCTGTACATTCTCACCAATTTTCAGAAGAACAGTCCTCTAGGAATTCAATCAATTGATTAGTCACTAAAAGGAATGAAGAAAGACTGCATCGATGGAGGTGGTGTCCTTGTTATTCCGTCACAAAATCACTACCGTCTTCCGCCAAGCAGAACGTACGGTCCTTATCAGTGTACCTAGATTGAAAGTTGCCCCAAATGCAGATATAATGACTGTACGTGCAATTCATCACCAGATGATGGTCGTAGTACCTCTAGCAAATTCTGTGGCTGCACATGGATCCTTCTGAAAATTTTTGGCCTGCTGGCCTTGGGGCGCAACTGCAGGGAAACGGAAAAAAAATTCAATATCCGAATTCACATTTCTTTCCTTCGGCAAAAATGCCGACAAAGTTTGAGGAATGTTGGTCAGGTCCCGTTGCCGTGGGGGGGAAAAGTATGATTAGGAAAGAAAATGAAATCCCGTTGCAGTCGTGGAGGAGGTCCCATCTGATTCGGCTTGATGGGACTTTTGCAACGCGGCCACATTATGGGATGTTGCTAAGGTTTGTCGTGATAACAGATCTCTGTCCACTCGGTCTCAAAGGGGCGTGTCGTGGAATGCTTTCTTCCAGGTAGTGGTCCTTCTTGTTGTCTTGTGTGTGACTGGATTCTGTGGGCTGAGAATTATCGATCGTATCTTTTGTCTATGGTGAGGAATGGAGGTGATCTCTTCCGTTGTAGAGGACCTTTGGTTTACGTACTTCTTTTCCTGTGGTATAAGCATTTTTTTTTTATTTTTTTTTTTAAAGGGCGACGGGTCTTGAGATATTATCATTGAGCTGACCGACCCCAAGCAATTTATTAGTAGTTGGTTTCAATTGTCAAGTTCCATCATCTGGATTCGAACACAGGTCTGTATTTCAACAGTTCATGCATGGATGTATTCTTATGTGGGATCGACGGGTAGGTCTCTAGACGTGCGATGGGGTGAACTTGTTGTGTATCGGGCCTGCAGTAGCAAGGAGGTGGAGCAAGGGGGATAGGAACCATAGTAAGCTGTATAATTGGTTGCGAAGATGCGGTCCGGAAAATTACGTTGCGCTGCCGTTATTTGTTTGTGAAGAGGCAGATAGGTTGGAATTGGAAAGATTTGTAATTCGGAGAACGAGCCCGTCTCTGTATTGTCGGGATAAGCCGGTTCGCGGGAAGAAATGCAGACCTGGCAAGAGAGAGAGAGAGAGCGTCAGCGAAAATTGAGGAGGCGGCGACAGGGAGTAGATGTGGGAAAGAGAAGGATCGATAGGGGAAGACACACATGCATTCGATTTTCAAAACTCGGGATGGGTTCCGGACAGCGAGTCTCTCCTGACATTGTTGAACGAGGCGCGTGTGTGAGGGTGGGTGGGGATTTGCTTTGCATCAATGGAAGATCAGTAAGCGTTGTTTCGGAGGATCGATTGTGGAAACCTCCTTTGGGGTGCCTGCTCTGAAAAAG